TCACACTAAGCATGCTTGTAGCAACAGTGGAGAGGAAAAACTCCCTTTGAACAGGAAGAAACCTCCACCAGAAATATTAGAACTAGATATGCAAGAAAAAGCTCATTTCTTTTTTGCGTTTTATTAAATCTATGATTTAATGTCATAGAAACACATAAAATATAAATAAAAATACAAACCTGTGTTTTTTTAAACAGTTGGACACCAGATTTCTACAAATCATTAGGAATCTTAAATCAGATAGAAATTCAGTTTATTTAGAGGATTATATTTTTACACTAAGTCTGTTTTATTTTTTAGTTCTCAAAATACCAGTTTTTCGTTTTTTGTTTTTTTCCGGCTCTTGTCTTCCGCTAAACTGGTCGTCATGACGACGGTGGTCACTTTACCAGACAGCTCTGCTTGTTGCAGCTCTGTAAATATGTAGCTTCTGCATGGTCTTCCAACGCGAGCAACAGGTACACCAATATGTGAATAATAACGTAAGCAGGTTCGACGTTTTAGTTTCAAGCATAAGGAATTTCTATAGAACATTTAGACGTTAAAGCGTCGTGCAACATTCAGCGGCATGTGGAACAAAATAACCTTAGTGAATGCAAGAAAAAGAGGGACGGCTGGAAGTTATGCATGCTGGTGGGAGCAGATCAGCCTAGATACTGTAACGGGGATAGGGACATGGGGGGGGGTTAAATTATTTTTTTAGGATGGGAAGGGGCACTATTTCTAGTAAATGCTATGAAGCTGCTTTGTTATTGCTGTTGAGATACTTTTTATTTGCTTTTTCTATATAAGAAAAACTGTTCAGAAAGTTATTTATTTTTTTGGATATATGCTAGAAAAAGAAAAAAGCTGAAATCTAATGTAAAGAAACTAAAGAAACTTTAAAAGAAGAAAAAAAAAATGTCATCTCTAATCCTCTGCTGCAAGTTAAAGAGAAAACTGTCTCCTTCCGACGCCGCTTCTCACCAAAGTTTCCTCTTAAATCGTTCATCGTTTTATTTGCTTTTACTCTCCTGCTTCCTTCATTTATTCACTTTAATGCTGAAATGTTGTACAGCCATGGAAGAGTTCATCAGACTTCACTCTTTGTTGCTAATAGAGCGTTAGAAGAGGAAACTGTTTGGCAGATCTGGGTTCTTTTCCATTTTACTGCTCTTCTTATTTTTCTCTGTCATTTTGATTTGATTTAGAAGAAGTTCGCAGTATTTTTACCTCTGACTGTTGGCCACAGTTCTGCCAAAATTTAAACAGACTTTAAATGTTTGATCCTGGATGTGATAAAGATAAAAAAAAATGTCTTAGATAATATAAACGTTGTATTTGTAGTAGCAGTAGCAGGAACTAAGATGCATTGCTGAAAGGCGGTTTAAGGCAGTTACTCTTCAGCTTCTTTTGTTTTCATGCATTGATAACTCAGGTACATATCTTTTAATGTTATTTTTTTTTCTGTAAAATTCCCCAAATGATGCATCATATGTAAGAAAATGAAGAAAAAAACATGTTTGCATGTTTATAGCAGATCAATGTCACCTTCACTGTACATGTATGCATCCTGCCTCCTGGCCTCTTGTGAAGTCCCCTTGATTTCCCTCCACAAATCACAGAATATTACTTTTGTTAGACTCCTGCCTTTCATACCGATAGAAACCATTTAACAGTAGCATGAATGCTTTGCACAAGGAAAAGATGTCTAATAAAAAGGGGACTAAACAAAGGAGGAGACAGGAAGGGAAAAAGTGATGATGGACTGGAATGAAATGTTACTGAAGAAGGAGAGCGGTGCTTTTAAACTGATGTGTTCTGAGTATCCTGTCAACGGAGCAACAGGGAAGACAGGAGAGGAAGAAGGAAAAGTGAAAGAAAACAAAGGGAAATTGGCGCCCCGTCATGTAAGAATGGAAAGCACACTGTTTCCGCTGTATGTCCTCACCTCGTGTTTGTGGTCGTGTTCTGCCGTTGCACTTTAGTTTCCCTTCATTTGGTTTCGTGTTCATTGTCCTTTTCCTTTCCTCTGTTTGCTCCGAACCAGGACCAAACAGCTTTTCCCAAACTCCACCTCCAGCTTGTTCCATCTCACGGTGGCAGGTTGATTGATTGCAGAATGTCATGTGAGCAAACCAAACTGAAGCCGATCACTGACGTGATGCAGTTCGGGCTTACAGCCGCAGCTCTTCCACTACTTTAATCTATCATCCCTCCATCTACTGGGTTTATTTTCTTCAACCTGGTTCTGGTCGGCTGAAGTCCTCTGGTATAAAAACTGAACTCTGATGCAGTTTGGTAGATTTTGGTCTTTGTCGTCCTCTCAGAGAACTGACCGGCCGCCTCAATGACTTCTGCATTTGAATTCTTTGTGTGGCGTAGAGAGGCATTAACCCGTGTAACAGCCAAGCTTTGTTTCTGGTGTTCCTGCATGCCGGGTTTGCTTTGGGAGCTTCGTACTGAGGTCATTTTTTATTTTACTATAATGACACAAAGGTCACACTATAACACAAAACCTCTGCATTGGAATCAGCTTATTATCAGCAGCCAATATTCTTCCTTGTTACTTTGGTTTTTAACCAGATTATAAAAGCGATGCTTCTTGAACAATCATTCTAAAGATGTGTGCCTGTGGTAAAGTAAAAATGCAATTCTGTATTTTTCTTTAGCTTTGTAATTATCACAACTGACTCTTTGCCAGCAGCATCTCTCCAGTTTAGAGTTAGTTTAAAAAATGACTAAATGTTGATAAAGATGTGAAGAGTGAGTTACTTTGGTTGATCTCACACTGATTCCAACCTTTACTTTGAGTTCAAACGTATGAGGAGGAAAATAGCAGATTAAGAATGGAAAGTTTGTCTGAAAAATGTCTGACGTGATGCACCTGCTTGATGTTATTTTGATGATAAAACATTTTATTTTGGAGCTAAAGATTCAGAAATTAGTAACATTTTCTTAAATTAAGTGTATTTACCCTTAATTTGAGCAGGTAAATAAGACTATTTGCCAATGGAATGAGGATTTTTACTCTTAAAATTAGATAATAAAATGATATGCACTTGATATAAGACAATGGAAAAAAATTTTTCTTATTATAAATGTAAATTTTCTTATCCCATTGGCAAAGTTTCCTCATTAATTCAAGACAAAATGACCTCTTTAGATTTTAGATTTTTACAGTGCAGCTAAAATCAGCTTCCGTTTCAGCCAACAGATCTAATTTTAAAGTCTAACAGAAACATGGTTGGATGAAAACAGGGAAAACTCCTGCTGAAAGAGTGACGCCTCCTGGTTAAACGTCTCTTAGCAGCGAAGGAGTGATTATTTAAAAAAAAAAAAAACTAAAAATATGTTTTAGGGAGAA